GAAGAGAAAGTTTTATATATATATATATATATACATATACATATATATATATATATATATATATATATATATATATATATATATATATATATATATATATATATATATATATATATATATATGTATATATATTATGGCACAATTAACATGTAATTTTGTAGCATTTTTCTTTTTAGCAAATTAAGGATTTTGCTCTAATCTTTAAATTCAATAAAAAATATATGTTATTTACCCCTTTTTGGTGCTTAGATGTGGCTAGGTCTGTTTCAGTTGCTATCCCCGTAACCATAATCTATGTCTCTGATGGTTACTATTTTTGAATTAGTTCTGTATTGATGCTTTTGCAGGGGCTTCATTTGTCTTTCTGGGGTGAGGGGTGAGGGTGAACGAAGTGAACAAAAATTTAGAAAAACGAGCAATTTTAGGGGTATTTTAAAACTATAACCAGACCTTCATAAGTGTAATTTAGTATAAAAAGGTTAAGAATTATAGTCGGGGGGGGGGGAAGCCAGACCTTGAGGGGGCATGCAGAGTCTTGGGATGGGGGGGGGGGTGTTGCCCTCACCCTCCCTCTAGGGAATTTGTATTCAATTCTTGTCTTATATGAATAGCAAATTTCTCTTGAAATAGTGTGGTGAATGGAAATATATCTATTTTCAAAGTGATCATGTTTTTCATATAACAAGTTTGTCTTTTATTCCAAATCAATCATCCTGCAATTGAAGTAAACTAAAGAATTAAAGGACAAATGAATGCTTTTTCAGAGGTTTTAAGCCTTTGAGCTCTGGCAAAACCCTTGGCAAAAAAGAGCAGATTTACCACAATATATACATATATATATATATATATATATATATATATATATATATATATATATATATATATATATATATATATATATATATATATAAAGAGGAAGAGAGGTAGAGGTAAGTAGACTGAAAAACAAACAGAACGAAAGATAAAGAATCTGAAAGCTGCATTGTGGAAGTATACTTATGAACTGAATGGAAGTGTACTGCTATGATTATTCACTATAATTCACACGAAAAAGCACATGGTTATTGAAAGGAAGCTGTGGAACTATGGGGACAGGGGAAGTCAGAATGTCCTATTTTTATTAGGAATCCGAAAAGGAAGATTCTCCTGATGACATTACTGGTAAAATCTTATTTAATGAAGGGCTTTTGTTTTTGTTTTTAGGAATTTTGGGAACTACATGTCCTAAGTGACAGGGAGGGAGGGAGGGGTATGGGGGGGGGGAACTATTTTTATATTCCGTGTAATCTAAGAAAAAAAGGAAAACTGGCAACTCAACCCCGTCCTTGGAGTACTTCAATTCCCCAAGTTACTTTTGAAAGAATAAAAAAATAAAATGTAAAGCAAAGTTAATATTATGCGTAAATTTAGAAAATACCAAAACATATCTAAATATATGCATACAATGTTGACTGATTAGAATAATAATTTACGAAAGAAAATAAAAGAAAAAATAAGAAAAAAAAACTTGGCGAATCGAAGCATCCCAGAGTTCGGAGTGAGTTACCAGTTTCTGTTTTCTTTTTCTGAAATTAGACGCAATAGAGTGAATTTCAACGAATCTGCCAATTTTCCGGCTACATCAACCTATTCTTCCGTCACGTCTAAGACTTTATGACATGCTCTAACCCACGGTACATGTAAGACAGCTAGCACCACTTCTGTTTAGCCTATTTGAACCCAAAAATGGAATTGACTTTTTCCCTTGAGTATTCGGACGGATTTTTAGGTATGGAACACTTCGTTATCATGAAGAACGAGGTGGATTAAAAAAAAATCTGGTAATCATAACAATGTCGAGTTAATTATTCAAGCAAATATGTTATCCAGCTATATCTGGTAATTCAAGACACCTTCGTCACCTAAACGTGATGACGTCATCAACTCTGATCTTTTTTTTTTTTTAAAGTCAATCTGTACATTTTTTTTTTAGACTTTCTATAAATGATTTTATCTGAAAGAACTTCATTAATAACTCTCCTAAAAAAAATAATCAGAAAGTACACTAAGAAAAAAGAAAGAAAAAAAAAACAACTTTTATATCTGCAATGAATGAAGGCAAAGAGGCGGGGCTTAAGCTCGGCAGTTGCCAAATAGGATTTTCTTCGGGACTGAGTGGTGCTACCTGTCTTAGAGTACCTTACTCTATCCTAAGTAGAAGAGGCAGTCACTCATGCCACTACGGTGTGAGCTAGTAACGACAAAACATTAATTATGTGCATGGTTGCTACTGTAATAATCTTGAAATCATGTACGCTTCCATGTAAGATTACAGGTTAAAATGAACATAAAAATTGTAAGGACCTGTAAAAAAAAAATAATCAAAGGTAATAATGAGAATAATTAATTAAGGAAATTAAGGAAGCAAATGTGTTGTTAAAAATATCGACTTAGCGTAAAGGAATGTGCAAAGAATCAGGAAAACGGGGAACGAATTAATAATGATAATAACAGTAAGAACAAGTATAGCAGTAACGATAATCAAAATTAATGATAATAAAAGAATTGTAATAATGATGCGAGTAATGATGATGGTAATAATTACGATAATTATGATGAGTAATAATGATAATAATAATAATAGTAATAACAATATTAACAATATATTATCATAATAATGATAGTTCACAGTAGTAGTAAAAGTAACAAACAATAATGATAATAAGAATGATAATAATGATAATACTAATGACAATAATGATAATAATAATTATTATAATAATAATAACAATAATAATAATAATAATAGTAATAATATTCATAATAATTGATAATGATAATGATAATAATAATGATATGATAATAATAATAATAATAATAATAATGATAATAATAATTGATAATGAAAATGATGATATAAAAATACATCAAACGAAAATACCACTACAGTCACTACCAGTAATATTGATAATGCTGATGATACTATTTCTAAATACTTTTATGTGCACTTTTTTTTAAAGTCAGTCCTTTATATATATTTGTTGAGCTCTCTCCCTTATTCATTTATTTATCATTAGAATGTTAACTTTTAGCACAAGGCCAATTTTCAAAAAAACAAACAAACAAGCAACACCTGAACGAGTTAAAAACAAGGTTGCATAACTAAGGAGTTTTAGGCCTTATGATCTTCTAGTTCTGACACCGGACGAGACAGACAGGAGGCACAGATAACTAATCCAACACGAACTCAGGGATTAGGGATTAGGCACGAGATCTTTCGCCATGTTGTTTACACGCTGCGCAACATTGGGCTTTATGCTAATGGTTAATCTAAGCACCTAGGCTTTGTGCTTACTGTGTGTCCATACTCACGGGGTGTGTTAGGGTGGCAGGTTTACAGGTGACGGTATGCTAAGAGGTCACGATCGGGCATGGGTACACATTCGGGCATTGCCTGCATGCTCTAGGCACTCTAAGGCGGCATCGAGCATGGCGCGAGGAGCGACGGCGAAGGGGAATCGTCTTTCGCCAGAAGCTTACATGCTGGACGCTCAGAGGGAGGAAAAGGGGCGCAGATACTCACGCGTTACGCATTCTGGCTTCTTGGGCTTCCATTTGCCTTTGGCGCATTTCGCCGTCTTGTTGCCGATGTTGAGGCCGTATCCGTGCAGGCAGGTCACCTTGATGCGGGCGCCTGCCGAGTAAGTGTAGTTCTTGTCGCGGCCGGAGCGGGCCACCTCCACGCGCAGGTAGGGCTGGCTCGGAATGGCCTGGCAGCGGGGAACTGTAGCGGGAGAGAGCGGGAGAGGCTGAACGAGAAACAGTTTTGGCTGCGGGGACCGAATTCCTATTAGATTCTGCTTAAAATAAGGAAGCTGTTATTCATTTTGCTTTGAAGAAATTATTCTTGAACTGACCTTTTTTCCCCTTCTTCTTCCACTTGTTTCTCTGCTTGCGCTTCTTCTCTTTCTTTTCTCTCTCGGCCGCTCCTCTCGGAACTCGCACGAGCTCGGGCCACGCCTCCTTCTTCCCTACTTCTCTGGAGGAATCGTTCTCGACGCGCAAGAGCCGGTAGAAGTCGTAAAGGGGGCTCTTTAGCTTCTTCCCCACCTCAAGGGCGTCCCGGGCGACCTTCCTCGGGGCTTCGCTCGTTGTCCTCGCTGGCGTCGGGGCGGCCGTGTCTGGGGCAGCGCTTGCCGGCGGCTTCGTGGTTCGGGGCGGCGGCGCCGTGCTGGTGCTCACGGCCTCCACTGGCTTCGAGTTCACCTTGAAGGTGAACGACCTGACCCTCTCGTGCTCGTTGATGATGGGGTCCTGGCCCTGGCCCCTCGCTGGCTTCCGCGGCCGCTCCTTCGGGCCCGCGACGAACATGCGGTTGTCGTCGCTCGCGGGAGCCTGGTCCGACGCATCGCCTCCGCCAGATACAATGCGGCTTTCGCCCACCGTCTGGTTCCGGATCTCCTCGTATTCGCGGCTGTCGACTGACCTCTTGACCCAGCGGATCCTCGGGTGAAGGTCGGGGTCGCATCTGTCAAGAGAAGGCACTGCCAGGAGCGTGCGTGGTCTGCCAGAAACATGTTTGGTTCGGGCGATTTACTCCGGAGTCTCTCATTTAGTCTGAATTTCTTGATGTGATCTTGTCCTAACTTCTAATCAAAAAACAAAATCCCTATCATTTATTCCAGCTGATAGAGTTTAACAGCTATGCGTAGCAGAATTAGAAGGTTTACAAAGTCCAATAATTTATTCTAGAATGTAGAATCAGAATGGGCAGGTTAGAAAGGGCAGACGTAGAGAGGGACGCAAGTGGAGACTAAGACCGCAGCCACGCTTTTTGGGAAGTCATGAAAGTTCATCAACTCTTCACCCATTTGCCAGATAACACGGCATTATAATCGAAATCGATTACCCAATTAATAACCATACATAAAGTATTCAGTCATTCAGTAACCGTACCTTGGCATTTCCTTGGGGCTCCACTGGCCGGCGACGCAGGTGGCTCCGGGCGGCCCCTCCACCAGGTAATAACCGCGGTCGCAGTCGTAGCGAATCTGCCGATTGTTTCGGACCTGCGGGATGCGAGAGACGGGATTCAGCTTCCGTGCATAGAGCTTCGGGAATCCTAGTTAGAGAGGTCTGCAAAAATCTCTCTCTCCCTCTCTCTCTCTCGTTGTCGTTCTCTCTCTCTCTCTCTCTCTCTCTCTCTCTCTCTCTCTCTCTCTCTCTCTCTCTCTCTCTCTCTCTCTCTCTCTCTCTCTCTCTCCTCTCCTCTCCTCTCTCTCTCTCTCTCTCTCTACTCTCTCTCTCTCTCCCCTTTTCCCTCTCTCCCCCCCTTCTCCCTCTCTCTCCCCTTCTCCCTCTCTCTCTCTGTCTCTGTCTCAGTCTCTCCCTCCCCCCCCTCTCTCTCTCTCTCTCTCTCTCTCTCTCTCTCTCTCTCTCTCTCTCTCTCTCTCTCTCTCTCTCTCTCTCTCCCCCTCTCTCTCCCCTTCTCACTCTATCTTCCCTTCTCACTCTATCTTCCCTTCTCTCTCTCTCTCTCTCTCTCTCTCTCTCTCTCTCTCTCTCTCTCTCTCTCTCTCTCTCTCTCTCTCTCTCTCTCTCTCTCTCTCTCTCTCTCTCCTTACCTTCTTGACGTAAGAACGGTAGTCGTACATGCCCATGTTACCCACCAACAGCACGCGGCCGTTTGCGACTTCGCCAGGGAACGGACAGTACACTGGGGGAGGAAAAAAGATTTAAAGAAAAAGAAAATAACACACATATATCCGTGTGCGTGTGTGTGTGTGTGTGTGTGTGTGTGTGTGTGTGTGTGTGTGTGTGTGTGTGTGTGTGTGTGTATGTGTGTGTGTGTGTGTGTGTGTCTATGTGTGTGTGTGTGTGTGTGTGTGTGTGTGTGTGTGTGTGTGTGTGTGTGTGTGTGTGTGTGTGTGTGTGTGTGTGTGTGTGAATGTGAGTGTGAGTGTGAGTGCGAGTGTGAGCGTGAGAGCATGTGTATGTGTTTCTATGTACGTATGTGAGCATATACATACATATACAATATATTCCCCCTCACACATACCCATATCCGCAAGGACGCACGCCCGTTCACATGGCAGGGTCTCCATCTCTTACCTTCGACGCAGGTGGGGGTGCTGCCCGTCCAGTTGCCATACTTGCATTTGGTGGTTGCGTTGCCGTGCAGCTGGTAGCCGTCCCTGCAGCGATACCGCGCCCACATGCCATGGTCGGTTCTCGGGGCTATGACCATGCCATGCCGAGGGCGGGGAGGCAGCTTCTTGCACCGAGCTGTGGCATGATATACGGATGCATTGATTTTACCAGGTTTTCGTTTATTGTTCGAAATTCTTCGGATTGAATACGTGGACTAGAAGCTAATGAGAGTCACGGAGCAGTTTCTCTTGTATGTCTTTTTTTATTTCTTATTTCTTATTTTTTTTATTTTTTATTATTATTATTTTTTTACAAATGCAGGCTATGGATTTGCTATCTGTCTGTTTTTATGTACCTAATGTAGTCTTGATCCGCACCGTACACTGAGGATTAAGTCGTGTAGGTAGGAAAGTAGACATAAGTTCACAGATACGAAACCAAAAAAAAAAAAAAAATCATTACAGATAGGCATAACTAAGTTGATAAACACACACACACACACACACGCACATACATACATACCGGTGAAATAGTACCAAATAATTAAAACTAAAATAATTATATTTAGATCATTAACCCCCCCTCCCCCAACAACAAAAAAATCCATCATTGCACTACAATGATCACAATTCTTAAACAAATCTTAAAAACACAATCTTCCAACCACATGCTTCGCCCCTCAGCACGGCCTGCCTGGCGCTCCCCCCCACCCACCTGGCTGGCATCGGGGGTAGTGCGTCCACGTCCCGTTGTAGCAGAGCGAAGGCGCCAGGCTGTAGGCGAGCTCGTAGCGTTCGTCGCAGTCCACCTCGATGACGCTGCCGTGGGTGACCAGCGCCCCCGCCAGCGTCCGGTTCTTGAGGCGCCCGTACTCGATGGTGGGGACGATGCAAGGCGCTGAAGAAGGTGGCGGGGGAGAGAGAGAGAGAGAAAGGGCACGTGAGGTTCCGTCGGGTTTGGGACATCCAGGGTTTTGTTTCATTTGAAGGGGAAAATGGGAAACGGGGGTTGGAGGGCGGGGGGTATATGAAACAGTGGGGGAGGGGGGACTGTTTAAAAAAAAAATCGGGGATTCGGAATAGTGGGGCGGAGTAGAGAAATCCATGCTACTGTACATAGATAGTTTTTTTTTTTTTAAGTGGGAATCGATAACGACACTATGGTTCACTTCAATTTGACTTATGTTTAAAAAAAGAGCATGTTAGCTAGGTCTAGGCATTCAATATTCGCAGATGCAGATGAAAACAAAAAACAATAGCCGAAGGAAAAGAAAAACAAAACAAAACAAAAACATTCCAAAATCTATCATCAGAAAATACAGGCACAAAAAAATGATTTTCATGAACCAACGCTTACTTGTGCGACTTACTAATTTCAAGTGAGAAATATATCAATAGAAGCATTAATGCAATTGATGCACAACGCCAGATGCACAAGACACTTACATGTCGGACCATTTAATAAAATTAATTAATTTTGATGACAAATATCCCACCTCTAAGAAGCTCCAGTTTTTGGCGGGAAACAGGTCAGGTTAGTCACCGTTGCCCGGGCACTGCGGGCGGTAGGCCTCTCGCTCTCGCTCGCTCTCTCTCTCTCTCTCTCTCTCTCTCTCTCTCTCTCTCTCTCTCTCACTCACTCACTCACTCACTCACTCTCTCTCTCTCTCTCTCTCTCTCTCTCTCTCACTCACTCACTCACTCACTCTCTCTCTCTCTCTCTCTCTCTTTCTCTCTCTCCATCTATCTATCTATCTATCTCCCTGTGCGTCTCTGTCTTTCAGTCCGTGTGTCTATGCACTTTTTTCTGTCTTTCAGTCTGCTTGTCTGTCTGTCTGTCCGTCTCTCTCTCTCTCTCTTTTTCTCTCTTTCTCTCTTTCTCTCTCTCTCTTACTCACTCACTCACTCACTCTCTCTCTCTCTCTCTCTCTCTCTCTCTCTCTCTCTCTCTCTCTCTCTCTCTCTCTCTCTCTCTCTCTCTCTCACTCACTCTCTATCTGTCTATGCATCTATCTCTATCTATCTATCTATCTATCTATCTATCTATCTATCTATCTATCTATCTATCTATCTCCCTGTGCGTCTCTGTCTTTCAGTCCGTGTGTCTATGCACTTTTTTTCTGTCTTTCAGTCTGCTTGTCTGTCTGTCTGTCCGTCTCTCTCTCTCTCTCACTCACTCACTCACTCACTCACTCACTCTCTCTCTCTCTTTCTCTCTCTCCATCTATCTATCTATCTCCCTGTGCGTCTCTGTCTTTCAGTCCGTGTGTCTATGCACTTTTTTTCTGTCTTTCAGTCTGCTTGTCTGTCTGTCTGTCCGTCTCTCTCTCTCTCTTTCTCTCTTTCTCTCTCTCCATCTATCTATCTATCTCCCTGTGCGTCTCTGTCTTTCAGTCCGTGTGTCTATGCACTTTTTTTCTGTCTTTCAGTCTGCTTGTCTGTCTGTCTGTCCGTCTCTCTCTCTCTCTTTCTCTCTCTCACTCACCTCTTCGCCAGCACCCCATTTCCGTGCGCTCTGACATAGCTTATCAACCACAGTAATGTCATGCTAGGAAATAAGAAGAGAAAAAAATAAGTATGGAAAGGAAAGGAGAAAAACCCCGAAAAAAATTCACTCTACCAGTCTTCCCGGAGGATTACCCTGGAGGAACCACGGACCCGATCTTTCTTGCAACAGAGCTATGGACTTCATGCAACTGAGCGTCAAGACCCATACAGAGACTGAGCATGTTGTCAAAGGGAAACCACTCGCATACACCTTACTTTCCTCCCACGCGACGTAAGCTCGAGGTGCAGAGATATACATATGTATTCGAATACGATACTCTAGGCAAATGTGATTATGGATGTCATGCAGACTCGCAATGCGGAGGCTGACTTTGGACGAGATGCAGCAGGCGGTGGCGAGCATCAGGGAGCGAGCCGTCTGGAGGCATACATACCGAAGCACCTGGGAAGCGGGTGCGACCAGGTGCCGTCCCTCTGACACACTGCCTGCTGCTCGGGGTGGCCCTCGTACAACATGTTGTCGTTGCAGCGGAAGATGACTTTGGCGCCCAGGGTGGTGTAGGAGCCATCCAGCCACCCGTTGTATAGCACCCCCGGAGACCCGCAGTTGATCTCTAGGGGGCCACCAGCCTCAGACGTTATAATCTGTTACAATGAACTCACACACACACACGCATGCACGAACACCCTCACACTGCAGGGAGCACAAACGCGAGCTCTGAACAAGGACGAGCTCTCGGGAAAGCTCACTAAGAATCTTAAGCAAAGCGATGGTTTGGCTGTTAATGCGGGTACGCTACATATACTCGTAGTTAATACTGACACGCTGTCTGTTTTTTTTCTTAATGACAAAACTCCTGACAAATTATATAGGAATGAAATAAAATCCTACATAGAGCTCGTGGGTGTTCGAATCCAGAAAAAAAAAATCTCACCCCTTCTTGAAAAAAAGATAATGACAAAAAAAAAAGAAAAATCGATAAAAAGGTCTAAATTGGTTGACCGCTTCTATCTATCGTCACGTTAATAATTCACTTCCACACTTGTGCTACCTACGCGCGTATTAACCTCCTCTCTCTGTTTTTTTTTTAAACTCTGCATTCCAAGAGTTTATTTCGAGTAAGAAAAGCAAGCCTGTCTGGGACGTCGACTCAAAGCTACCTCGAAGGAAGCTACGGTGTTTTCGAAAAACTTTTTTTTATATTCCCGTTTCTGGTTCTTGATCGGCCGCCCCGTGTCGCCCCCTCTCCCCCCTCACCTCACTTTTGTTCCGTGTCACTCCCTCTCCCCCTTCCCCCTTCCTTCGACCCGTGTCTCCCCTCTCCCCCCTCCCCCCTTCCTCCTCCTTCGTCCCATGTCGCCCCCTCTACCCCCCTCCCCCCTTTTCCCCTCCTTCGTCCTATGTCGCCCCCTCTCCCCCTCCCCCCCTTCCCCCTCCCTTCGTCCCGTATCGCCCCCCTCCCCCTCCCTCGTCCCGTCTCGCCCCTCTCCCCCTCCCCCCCTTCCCCTTTCCTTCGTCCCATGTCGCCCCCTCTCCCCCTCCCCCCTTCCCTCTTCCCCCTCCTTCGTCCCGTATCTACCCCCTCTCCATCCTTCCCCTCTCCCCCCACCTTCGTCACATGTCGCCCCCTCCCCCCTCTCCCCCACCTTCGTCCTGTGTCTACCCCCTCTCCCCCCTCCCCCACCTTCTTCCCACTTCGCCCCCTCTCCCCCCTCCTTCCTTCGTCCCGTGTCTACCCCCTCACCCCCCTCCTCCCTTCCCTTCACCTTCGTCCCGTCTTGCCCCCTCTCCCCCTCCCCTCTTTCCCCCACCTTCGTCCCATGTCGCCCCCTCTCCCCCCTCCCCCCTTCCCCCTTCCTTCGTCCCACGTCGCCCTCTCTCCCCCCTCCCCCCCTTTTCCCCTTCCTTCGTATCGTGTCTCCCCTTCTCCCCCCACCTTCGTCCCGTGTCTACCCCCTCTCCCCCCTCCTCCCCTCCCCCCCCTTTTCCCCTTTCCTTCGTCCCGCGTCTACCCTCTCTCCCTCTCCCCCTCCTTCGTCCTGTGTCCCCTCCACCCCTAACCCTCCTTCGTCCCGTGTCTACCCCCCCCCTCCGTTCCCATGCTAGTGGCGTTCCATCCCGACGCAGAAAGGAAATGTAGAGTAAGATCAGGAAGGCAGCGTGCTGATTGGCCTCTACGAGTTCAAAATGCAAATCTGTGTCTTTTCGTAAAGTTGTACTACGTAGAATGGGAAGTTAAGTGTACTCTAAAACATCCTACAAGAAAAAAAAGAAGAAATAAGAGTAATTATGTTTATCATAACAACGACAGTAATTACTAGAAGAATTACTTCCTGAAATACACACTACGGATGACTTATTTACAAGAGTTCAGAGGCTGTTAGAAAGAAAAAAAAAGAGAAAGAAGAAAATAGAGAATGATAGATAGAAATAATATCTAAGGAAAGAGCAAGAGAGAAACTTTTATGTTTCAGAAATTTTTATTTCTGAAAATTTTATTCTATTTATTTATATATATATTTTTTTATTTATTTTTTATTTTATTTTTTTTACTTATCTCACTGCATTCACGAAGATACATTTTGACGAATGGAATGCTATATTGAACAGTTATTTAAACACGATTATATTTCTCTCTTCCCCTTCCGTGTACAAGAAATTACACATCATCTGAATATATTTGATACGTGCACATGTGATTCAGAACAAAGCTGCGTCTCTATCAGCATCTGTTTCAGAGAATGGTAAAAAGTCCTTCTCTACGAGTATTCACTTCTAGTACTCACCAACAGTGCAAAGAACAGTTTCTCCTCGATATATATTTAAGTAAGAAGTAAAGGCAAGGCGAGGCCGCTACCTTACAACAACTCTCCAAGTGCTGTACATCGCAAAAGAGAGATAGAAAAAAAAGGTAACGATACCGCGAAGAAAAAAAAAAAAAATAAGTGACCTACGTTTACACTGGGGCTGAACGCCACTCCACTTCTTGTCGGGTCCGCAGCGCCTGGTCTCGGGTCCTACGAGCATGTAGCTGTAGTCACACTTGTAGGACACCACGGAGTTGTAGATGCGGCGGGTGAAGGTGCTCTTGCCGTTCTCCGGGTCCTCGGGTATGTCACACTGCACGGCTGCGGGAGGAGGCGAGCGGTCATCGGGCTCAGAGGCACAGAAAAAAAAGAGAAAAAAACTACTTGATTGGTAAACAGAATGAAAGAAATATGCTGCTGAATGGAAAAAATAATACTGATTGGTAAACAGAATGAAAGAAATATGCTGCTGTAGCGATGTCACGGAATGGAAAAAACTACTGATTGGTAAACAGAATGAATGAAATATGCTGCTGTAGAAATATACTACAGCTCAGTACCATAGACTTAATATGATGTTTTCTTAGGATAACAAAATGAAAGATATATAGCTCAGTACTTGAGACTTAAAGAAATATGTTGTTTTCTTAGAACAAACTTATGATAGAAATATGCTAAAACCCTATACCACAAAATGAAAAAAACAACAACAAAAAACGCTACTCCTGAAGCGACTACCCCCCTCCCCGCCTCCCCTCCCCCTATCCATCTACATGCCATCAACCCTCCCCTCCCCCCCACCCCACCCACCCACCCAATCCACCCAACCCCCCCCAAACCCACAAAAACCCTCAACCCAAAAACGACATCACCCTCCTTTCAAACAAGCCCCCTCCTACAGGTTTTCCTTACGGGTGCACGCCGGCCTTTCAGAGGGACTCCACGTTCCGTCGTGTTGGCAGTAGAGGTTGCCACGCCCCACGAGCTCGAATCCCGGCCGGCAGTGGTAGGTGACGCGGCAGGAGAAGGTAAAGCAGGAACCTTCCTTGTAGCCGTTCAGGATCTCGCCGGGGTCGTCGCAGCTGATGGCTAAGGGGGAGTAGGGGGAGGCTTTGGTTAGTGGGTGTGGGGGGAGGGGTGTGGGTGTGGGAGTGGAGGTAGGGTGGGTGGGTGTGGGGTGGGAGTGGAGGTAGGGTGGGTGGGCGTGGGGTAGAGTGTGGGGGACGGGGTGGGTGTGGGAGTGGGGTGGGGGTGTGGGTGTTTGGTGGGGGTAAGGGTGTGAGTGTGGGGTAGAGTGTGGGGGTAAGGGTGTGGGTGTGGGGGTAGGGGTAGGGGTAGGGGTGTGGGTTTTGGGTAGAGTGTGGGGTAGGGGTTTGGGTGTGGGTGTGGGGTGTAAGAAGGAAAAGGGGTTTACACTTGTGATGATAAAACGTGGAATCATAATGAGTGAATGAAATGACAAGAATGATAGTACCATATAATGATAATTATGGTAATGATAATATTGATAATGATAATAATACAGATAATGATACCAATACTACTGCTACCACTACCATTAATAGTAATGATAAGAAAACTATCAATAATAATGATAATAACTATAATAACAATAATAATGATAACAATAACAACAACAATAATAACAATAACGATAATGATACTGATAAAGATAAAAATAATAACAATAACAACACTAATAATAATACAGACTTAGAGACAAAATAAATGAAAATAATAACCA